TTTGCATGTAGGTGCTTTGAACGTATGATACGTATGTGCAGAAACCTTTTGACATTCTAGGCATCCTTTTTATGAATCATGTTGACTCTCTTAAGCTGAATATGCGTGACTGCAGATTACATTGGACATCATGCATCTGCATAATTAGGAGAATATTGTACTAGCTTCATGAACCTTCTTACCTCATATTCTCTTGTTCCAACATATCCTATCTGCTGATTTGAAGTTGATGACCATCCATAAAACACTTCAAATGGAGAGTACCCTTAAAGATATGTTACAAGTTAAACAACCTTAGATGTCGGCAGATTCAATCACATGGCGTAAAACGTGGATTCTAAATTCCGTATTTTCCAAGTGCATGTTTCCACGGAGACGCCCGCCCAAAAAATGGCGTCTTAGATAGGGTGTGGCAAGCTTCCGCACAGAGAAACTTGCTCTGTCGCGGAGAGCTCGCCGCGACGACTTCAAGATCACTGTATCCGATGCTTCTTCAATGAAAGGTGTCTCTACGATGCAAAAAGAAACTAAAATGAAGACCTTTTTAGCTTCCCCCCGGTGAGAGCGAGTCTTGCGGAAGACGATGGACTCGGATGATTTGATGGCCAGCACAGCCTCCGTCTCTTGTCGATGGAAATACATGATTTAGAGGGCCTCGGAGCCCTTAGTAGAGTCTTCGCTACGCTCAGACTGCTACTGCTCCAAGGCCCCTCGGGCCGTCTAAATCGCGTATTTCAATTGACGCGCAGTATAACCTGTAATTATATTTTCTTACCAAAGGGTTTATTGTAAGTATGTGTTGTAGAGATTTTGATTGGCAGGGAAAGTAGTAACCCAATGGAAATGATGATTTTCCTGTAAGAATGGGCTTAAACTGAATTGCAACATGCGATGAGACCTCTCCATCTGTTGTAAACAGTGCACATAAGATGCATTTCCTTGTGGTTGAAGATGACATAGTCAGCTGTGAATCTTTGTCTCTGGGGGTGACTAATGTCTAACTAGGCTACATGGAATGTGCCTGTATAATTATAAGGGCTAAATTTAGAGACATTACTAAAAAAGTTAGTCAATATCTGATGTTTTTACGACAGGCTGGTGTTTTCCAACATCTTTTTCTACAATCAGCACCTAATAATCATTAAGTCGGCATCAATTGTCAACTTCAGAAGGAAGGAAAATCCCTGAAAAAAATAAAGGATGAGAGTTCGTGAGAATCACAGGTATAGGAATAAGAACTTTAGTGCTTAGGCGACAAACACCTAGCAGAGATAATCTGTGTTTGTGCAAAGCAATGATGGTTGCAACAACACCTTGACATTCAGAGACATATTTTCAATATTATTCACAGCGAGAACAGCCAGCAACGCGGGGAAGCATAAACATCACGCAACGTAGAGCAACAGCATTCACATTGCCGCGTGCGTGAACTACGTCGATGAAATGCTGGCAGGGTTGGCCGCGATAAATGGCTGCGCCCGCTCACCAATGATGCCGACAGGCATGGCGGCTGCTGTTAATATTGCAGAGGGATGCCATTAGAAGTAAAAGAAGTGCAGAGTTGAAAAAAACTGGTGAATAAGCACAGTGGCAAACGTTAAGTCATTACATTAGTTGAGAATTTCTGAACTTCATGCGTTGCACATTACGCCACGTTGCATGTTTATAGTGTGTGAAGTTTTTCCAGATACTTTCAATCCAGATACTGTTCTTAGCATAAAATTTCTAATGACATCTTTCCCTTGTAGTCTCTCAAAAACTACTGCATTTTTGCTTCTCCAAAACACTACCTTCACAACTGAATCAAGAATTATGAGTGCTGATACTGCTACGAGACACAGCACACAGGCTGTGAGAGCTCCAGTGAGATAATTGTGTGTATGTACTTCGAAGAAAACAGCCTTGGTTTAGTTACCCAAGTCACATCGTATGGCTGAAAAAATACCTCTCTGAAAAGGATGGTTGAAAACAAACCAAAAACAGGAACCTGAGTCTTCAATGCTTGTAGCAAACAAAATTATGCCTCTACAATACCAGTTGTGAAAGGAAATGACAGCGTTCCAGCAGCAAGTAAGGAGTTGGTGTCCATGCACGTTTTGTCGTTATAGCAAACGCAAATGCGAAACGACTTGAATTACGTTGTTCCTTGAGTGTCAGGATGTCAGACTGATTGCTTGGCTGCTAACAAAAAAGCAAAACTTTGGGATTATGTGGTTTCCAAAGGTGTCAAACTGATATCAGACGTTTCTCTGCTTATTTCCTCCTCTTTTTCGTTACCATTACCTGTTTTTCCTATGTTTTCCTGTTGTTTTGCTAACAAGTTAGCATAAGTACATGTGGAACACATAACGTTCTCAAGATTGTCAAACTTATCTCAGTTTGTGTGCTTTTTTCCAGCTCTTTATAAAATTGATGCATAAAATTTATTCGGTCGTGATGAAAAGCTCCATTTTCTTGTTTTCTTTGCAACATAAAGTTCCAGTGCACAGCACTGTAACTCTCCCTTCTGTGTTTTGCAACTGTTGCCTTTTCACACTAGGAATACACCTTCAACTGAAGTGCAAACCCTCGGCGAACTGCGCATGTGCGGTACTGCTAATTGATAGACTGTAGTATGCGTTTACTCGCGGTCTCAAGCTAGTAGCTCGCAGAGAGTCTGACACAGGCTAGCTACTGTAATAGATAGCATGCGAGAGTCGATACACGCCATTCGTTGTGACTTCTTGTGCCTTCAAGATACACAGAGCAAGCGGACCCAGTCGAGGTAAGCCTGTGCTGAATATAAGCGCATGCGCATTTTCCGGAGCGATAAAATGGCGTCTACCGGCATTAGCCGTACAATGCTGGATGCGCTCTAGCTTTGCAACGGAGCATTTTCAGAGAAAACCGTTCGAAATTTCTGACCTTCATTGCCCGTGAAGTAGATCTTGTCCTTTGTGAGACGAACAAACACTCGAGGAGTGAGATTGAAAGTAACAGACTGACAGACTCAACTACTGTAACCCTCGCTGTGCATGCGCGCCGAGGGTTAATGGGGAAAATATCTGTGTGTACTGCCCTTAGTGTAATTAGTCAGCACCTAGCCTTTTACTCAGGCTGTTTGATGGGAGAAGAATTAGCCTGTTATTCGTTGTTCGTGCATACTGAAAGCACTGAAAGAGAGCTTACTGAGAGATGGCATAGCACAGTTGTTTGAGGTTTGCTTTTGTGTTGTTTTTTTGTTAAAGATTTGAGTCCTTACCAGCTGAGTTTCCCTTCTTGGTAGAGTGCTCGCCTGGACTGCAGCGTTTCTAGGGTTTGAATCCCACCTATGGCGGCTTTTCTTTCTTCCTTAAAGAAAAGGTTTGTCGTTGGTGTAGTTACTTGTTTGTTGTTCCTTTGCCATTATTAGAGCGTCTGTAGACGCTCTATATAGGGATGGCACGGATCAAATCTCACGTGATCCGCATACAAAACGCCTCAAAACTCGGCGAGAATGACTCGCTAGGCCTTTAAAACACGCTAGCAATAGTCTACGGGCCGGTATATACGTACGTAGCTATACATGTTCCAAAAGATCTCATATGCACCTTCAATACTCCACGCTCATGTGCGATATCACGATTTTTGTGTCATAATCATTATTCTTCACCTTCTTCTTCAGACCCGCTATCTCCTTACTCCAGGTTACACGGAGGTGTTCACGATCATCAAACGATCGTTTCTTCATTGTCGCAAGTCCCTAGGGTTGATATTTTAGCTCCACCCTGGTAGACCCTGAACGATGCCATTTCCTGCTCACTCAGCGTCACGCACCAGGGGGCGTTGTCCAGATACTCGTGCAGGCTGCGCATGGGCAGCGTGGCGGCAGTTGATTTCGCTTTTGATTTTCTCTGTAATCCTTACTGCTTTTGTGGTGTGTTTCAGTGTCCCTGCTTACCCAACTTCATTTTGCTCTATACAAAAGTTAGTTCATGGTGCTTTCTGTGTAGTCAGAGTGGTTCATAAAAAAAAAAAGGAAACAAGTGGAAAAATCTTTTGTTCAAAATAAAGTGGGATATATGGATGGCTCAAAGCACCAAAAAGGAAAGAACAGGGGTCTTTCACAGCTAAGACACGCAAATCTACATGACACTGTCCCTATATCTTTGTTGTATTGACTAATAGGGAAGTACGATCAGACAAAGATATAGGGATAGTGTCCATGTTGATTGCGTGTCTTAGCTGTGAAAGACCCCTTGTTCTTTCCTTGTTGGTGCTTTGAGCCATCCCTATATCCCCCTTCATTTTGAAGTACATGGTGTAATTCCCTAACTTTCCTGAGATCGGGATATTTTGTGTTATGATGACATCAGTACTATTCACAGTGCTTGCAATGACCAAACAAAGGCTCACCTTTGCTCTGGAGCGCTCTTGAGTGAGAAGTAATAGTCTCTCTTTGCTGTCGTTTTAATCTTCTTGCTTCATGTGTTGTACATCATCTTTGATGCCCGTGCTGTAGGAGCATCATACTTACACCCTTGCGCAAACAGTAAGTGCCAGTCTCTTCTCCCTCAGTAGAGCTTGGGGATGAAGCTATGTGGGCAGCATGACTGTCAACTGATATCACAGGATCGGTATTAAGGTTATTCATGTGGCAAAACTTAGCTTCTTAAACAAAACGGTTTAAAAGGAGCACTGGGAAAGGGATCTTCCCTTTGCAACTGCAGGGTTCAAAATTATGCCATGGAAAACACAAAAAATATGCAAATCACACTGGGCTTACCTCAATTTGATCTGCTCGCTCTGTGTACTTTAGAGGCTCAGTAAGTCACAACGTAGGACGTGTATCGACTCCCGCGTGCTATCTACTAGTGTAGCTAGCCTGCCATGTCCGTAAATGCATACTCTTGGCCTAGCATATCAATTAGCGATACCTGTATGCGCAGTGCGCCGGGGGTTTTCACTTTAGTGCTTTTCATGTTATTGAAGTTACAATGGAACCTTATTGTTTGAAATTGGCAATATTTTTTTTTGTGTAGATGCTTGTTGAGTCGAGTGATCCGAAGATTATTTTGTCACTTTTGGATGGGAATGTTCTGTCAATTGATATTAATACGGGCATTGTCTTGTGGTCTCTTAGTGAAGGTTAGTTTTTGTGTGGAGCCTACCATGTTATTAGATGTAGAAGTGTATAGGGAGCAACTGGTCTTAAATGTATGCTCCTAACAATGGCATTGAGCATGAGTCAATAGAAGTGAAATAGTGTGCCGCACCACACTATTTATAGTGTGGAAATAGTGTGCCGCACCACACCATTCCATATTGCCGTAAAACTCACATAAGGAAGCACATCCTGAGCAGTCTTTTCTGTAGGGAGTTGTGGTTTCACACAGGTGTTAACTCGGTACCTTTTGCTAATGTTCCTGACAACTTCAGGCTTAAATTTTTTTAATTGCACAAATATATTTTTTGTCCAGTGGTATGTAGCAGAAATTGACTTATTTAACCTTTCATTGCTAGGCATTTCTCCCTTGTTAGTCCTTACCTGTTGCCTTGCTTTATAAAAAACTCTTAGTCCACCTCTTGCAAATGTGTTCTAATGCCTTTGTGCATTTACAGTGTGCATTGAAGAAAGGTTTTATTTCCCTCCTGTTCGCACGAAAGCAGATTAGGCATTTGTGCTCTCCTTCAAGAAAGTCGGTTTGCATTGCTGACTGTAGCAAGCGTAGGTTAGCATAATGGAATTACAGCAAGCCAGAAGAGTCGCAAAGGTATGTACAAACCATTAGCAGCACAACTCTCTAGTTTCCTTGCTTCTAAATCCACGTTGGTGTAAATGCATGAAAGTACCATAGTAGTATTTGGGATGGAACGGAACTAAGCGATTGTGACCCGCTATGGGAAATACATTGTGTATGGGAGAAACCTAGTGCAAAAGTCGTAGTGATATCGCATCTATTATTAAAGTTCTTGAATATGTACGTAAAGCATACAGAAAGAAAAAGTGCCTGATTATGCGTCTTTAATTCTTATTTTTACATCCTGAAAGTCTTTGAACACAAAGTGTGTTTGCGTTAAAATCTTCTCTTTGTATGAGCGCGTTCGGATGTTTAGTTATTCAGACGCATGCATGCATGCACGCGTGTACGCGGACACAATCATGTGCAGTCAAACGCACCCGCACGCACTCATGCAAACAACATGCTCTCCTGCGCTGCTTGTACGTCGATTCGCACGTGCTGCTGTACTATAACTAACACCTGGACCAGTGGAACCGTTTTTGTACGCAAACGCTGCGTGCAACACCCACAAAGGGCCGGTCTGCTCAGAATCACGCAGGATGCCTAGTCAATAAACATTGCCATTTTCAAATGCACGCAAACGTAAAAAGTGTCTTGTTTGTGGGTGAATCTAGTATTCGAATACTTTCTGACGCAAAACGTTGGTTCAGACTTTCAGGATGTACTATAATTATAATACCATGTTACTATGTTTTAAGTCTCTATTTTTATTGATGCTCTTTATGTTTTGCAGACCCGATTTTGAGTATTCCAGATATCAATGCTTATAGGTAAGCACTATTTAACAACCAACTCATAGTATATTTCCACCTCAGTACTTTAAGGTAGAAACAATTATCAACTTTTTGTACTTAGTGATCATCTGTGGACGCTTATGCCATAATTTTAATAGCTTATATAATTATTATACCTAAGGTTTTCCCTATTTTGTCAGTGTCTGTGACCCTCTTGGGAAGAGGTAAATTTTCGTGCCAATATTGATTTTCTGCTCTGTGTTAACTAAAGATTTCGTTGGTTTTCTCTATGACACGGGTTGAAACTATTGTGTAGTGTGTACCTTTTTCATGTTGGAGTGTAGTCGATCTACCGCTCATACTTGTTTGTGTTGCCTCCATGTCTATTGCACAATCAATATATTAGCTCACTTTTTTATATACAGCACTTGCACGGAGGCAGCTATGCCGGTGCCGTGTTTGTTGTATGCAGTGTGTGTTATGCATTCTAACTGATATGCCTAACTGAATGAAAAGCACTGAAGTGCAAACCCTCGGCGCATTGTGACGCGCACGCGTTAGTAAACGCATGCGCTGTATCACTAATCGATGGGCTGGGTTTAGTTTTAGCTGTTACTCGTGGTCTTTGCCAGAGTCTGGCGCTAACTACACTACTAGACAGCATGCGAGAGGCGATACACGCCCTGCGTTGCATCTTCTGGTGCCTCCGAGGTATATACGCAGAGTATGCGGATCGATCAGACCGCGGTAAGCCATCCCGTCCGTTGCATATTTGAATATTGGCTTTTTCGTGCTCTAGCTTTACAACGGAGCATGTTCAGAGAAAACCGCCTTTATTTTCTGACCTTCGTCGCCTGTTGGGTAGATGGTATCGTTTCTGGGACGAACAGACGTTCGAGGAGTGAGATATAGAGTAACAGACAAACAAACAGACAGACAGACACCCCCAACTACTGTACCCTCGCTGCGCATGCGCGCCGAGGGTAATTAGGCCTCATCCCCACGAAGAAAAAGGTGCCCTGATACTGCATGTGTATTAGTGCGCAAGCGCCAAATACTACGGATATATGTTACCGTATAACAAACTGTAACTGCCACTAAGTTCGGTGTATACACAATATACTCGGTTCAGTAACCCTTCCTCAACGAACAATTGTCATTGGAGGCCAGTAGCGAAGCTGACACGTGAATCGGTACCGTGGGCAGCATGCGGAAGCATTGGGATTTTACGGAGAAAGTAACTGAGATAATCAGATTCCCCATTGTATCCTATTAATGTGTGTGCAAAGTAATTGTAACTGCTGCAGTAAGCATGTAATGTGAGAGATTTTTAATGTACACAAATTAAAGCTGTTGGTGCCTCAACCGCCTGTGGTAATTTCAGAATGTTGGGACAGTCTCAGATCACTTTGCATGTGCACCAAGGGTTTGTGATATGGACAGTACTAGTAAAGTAAATAACAAATTCTTCGAATGAAAAAAGTGTGGAATATAGGGATACCAGGTGGCAAGACAGGGATGACCTAGTGAACGTGATGCAGTAGTACAATGGATGATGGCTACATACTTTGAACTGACATTCGACCTCCATTGTAACTTTAGATGCCTCAACAGTATGCGAGCAGGCTGTTTAGTAAAGGCTGATTTACTTCGCTTTGTAACTACTGAATTCAGTGTTACGAAAATGGCAAAAAAACCAGTGTAGCACTGAACCTACGTTGCTCTATAGCCATCTTGTAGCATGTGGTGGCAGAAGACGTGGTAACAGACTGACAGACACACACACACTTACAAACCAGGCGTATACCATAACCATTGGCAGCTCATGCATGCCAAGGGTTACATATCAAAGATAAGCCAAAGAAAAAAACCATAAAATTTTCAGCCTCTACATACCTATCTATACGTAAACCTAATCCTACTGCTGCTGGATAGCACTGTAGTGAGTTGGGCACAAAAACTTACAAATTACAACTGTTACATTCCAGCAAAACCGCAGTAGCAAGCTCACTTCCAAGGGACAGTGGGCACATAACAAGCATAGGCTCCCAAGGCAGTCTATCGTTTGCTGCAAAACCACACAAGATTTTAAGTGCAAACCCACAGGTAGCATACCAGATTATAATGAGAATTGTACGCCTGTTACGTTATTAACATGTGCAGCGAGGGTTACATTTGGCCTGTCTGTCTGTCTTTCTCTCAGTCTATCTGTCTGTCTGTCTGTCTGTTACGTTTTCTTCCACAAATCGCAAGAACTTGGCAAAGAGTATATACATAGTAACAGGTTTGTTGTTACACCAGCTTCATTTTAAAATAGACGATTATCATAAAGTACTGCACTCTGAAGTTATAGCATAAACACAAGGTGAAAAAGCAAAAAATTATGCATATTAAAAGCACTTAAGTGCAAACCTCGGTGAACTACGCATGTGCGGTACCGCTAATAGGCGGGTTGGGGAGAGTGAGGGCAAGTTAAGTTATCACATGGTTGCTGGAAATAATGTCTCGAAGCTTACATGTGTATATGCTGTGCGTTATTTAAAGTAATCGACAGAACTATTAATCTTATTTTAGAAGTTCTATTTTTCTATTTTTCTTACACGTGTATAATATGCTGTGCGTTATTTAGAGTAATCACACTTTTTTATGTCTCCGTCGTGTCATCGTGCTGCGTGAGTTTCAGAGTTTTTATATTTTTCTATGAGTTTATTGGTCCTTTGAGGCTTTCTATTTTTCTACCGGCTGTTGTTTATATCCTGTAGCTGTCGTTTTTTGTACATGATTTCTATCTATTTATTTTCTAACTACGTATGTGTAAGGGAGGTTGGGACACGGGGTCTGTAGGGAGAGTTGGGCCCATAAAAGACTCTTTAACCTACCGCCCCGGTTCTCAAGGCTGGGCACCCAGGGTCCTGCCTCTTTCTTTCTTTTCCTCTGATATTATTCTTTTAGCTAGTATGCTATAAATGTGTTTTTTCATGAATGGCAATAGACTACGCCTGTAGCTATAGCCTAGTTACCTAGCCTATCAAGCAGGAAGGAAAATTCTCTGTGGCTGGAGAGTTGGTGTGGGATCGGAAGCTGATTTTGTCTATGGCTATGCTAATGAGATATACCGCCTAGTAACTAATAATAATAATAAGCCTTGTAACTAATAATAATAATAATAATAATAATAAGCCAGAGAGCAAATTCAATGCTTTGCATGTAGTGAATGAAATTGCCTGTGTAGTGTATCAGAGTATTAATGCCATTGGAAATGAAAAGCACTAAAGTGCAAACCCTCGGCGAACTGTGCATGGGCGGTACCGGTATACGCATGCTCAATGACAATGTGTGTCCGTACACACACGCGCATATAATTTTATATACAGACCATACACGCACACGCGCGGTTCTTTGTCGCGCACTACATGCGCATTGTCATGTCTCGCTCTCTCCCGGCCTTTTGCCTCCTCGCTCACACTGGCCACCGGCTTCCTCACCACCCGTCGATGCTCGTGCTGCCAGCTGGAACCGTAGGGAGTGTTCGGTATTGTCGCTATATCCTCCGCGATGTGCCTGACGGCAAAAGCGGTCAAGGTAAGCCGTGGTGATGGTACTCATTAGCATATTGGCTTTTTCAGGCCATAACTCTTGAGCGGGGTACTTTTACGAAAATCGCCATTTTTAAAACGAAGCCAGCGTAGCGCTGAACCCGTTGGTGTCACTTTTTGGCCGGTTTGTTGCGCGTGGTGGCAGAAAACGTGGTAACAGACACAGACACAGACAGACAGAAAGACAGACAGACGACACATAGACCAACTACTATAACCCTTTAGCGCATGCGCGCCGAGGGTTAATTAGCATCGTCATGCAGTGCAGTTTTCTTGCGTGGAGTCTAATGTTTGAGGCAGATTGCCCTAAAATCAAGGAAAAGCCAGCTACTTCAACCCACTGCCCCAGTTTTCAACGTAGCTGTGGGCACATGGAGTCCTCCTTTTATGTGCAAGTGTGCTGTTTGTCGTGTGTGTGTACTTGGTTGAGGGTGACTTCTGGTTTTTCTTTCTTCTACGGCTAGTATGCTATGCACATGCTTTTGATCCATCTCTCTTCTCCATCCTCTGTTTTGTCAAGGAAAATCAATTCTGAGATGTGGCCATTCAACAATGTCATGGAAATTAAGGATATTATATGATGAAATCACTTTCTGTTGCTGCCCTATTCATAACTGTGAATACACTGTTCCCCAGATAATTGTACTACAGGTCCCAGCAATGAACTAAGTGTTATACATCACAGGCTGCATTCTATCATGCATAATATGTGACTCTGAGCATACCACAAAATATCAAATCAATTCTCTCTCCCTTGTCTCCCATGCTTTCCCTGTCTCACATACAAATATACGTAGTAATATCAGATCAATTCTCTGCCATGTCTCCCCTGTCTCCCATGCTGGTTCTTGGCCTTGCCTTGCCTTTCTACCTTGCTACCAAGTTGTTGAGTCATGCATATACTGTTTGAGTTGGGCGTCATTGGTGGTTTAATTACCCCGGTCTGCTCCTACATACTGAGTGAGAGTGTACTGTGCCATAGCACAGTGGTTTGAGGTGTGCCTTTGTGTTGTGTTGTGTTGTGTAGATTCGAACCCTACCAGCTGAGTTGCCCTGGTAGCTCAGTTGGTAGAGCGCTCACTTAGACTGCAGAGTGTTGTGGGTTCGAATCCCACCCAGGGCAACTCTTCTTCTTTTCTTTGAAAAGAAAGAGCTGTCCTGGGTGTAGTTGACTTGTTTGTCTTGCCTTGCCTTTCTACCTCGCTACCAAGTTGTTGAGTCATGCCTCCCCTGTCTCACATACAAATATAATTCTCTCCCATGTCTCCCATGTGTCCCCTGTCCCCCATGTAAACCAAGTGAACAAGCCATTAGGCATAGCACATGCTTACCTCGACTGACTCCGCTTGCTCTCTGTGTACCCTGGGGGTTCAAGAAGTCACAACGGGTGTGTATCAACTCCAGCTTGCTATCTACTACTAGCTAGCCCGTGTCAGACTCCCTGTGAGGTACTAGCTGGAGACCACGAGTGTACTAATAGCCAAGCCCATCAATAAATTACAGAACCGTGCATGCGCAGTTCGCCGAGGGGGTGCACGTTAGTGCTTTTTCTGGCGTGTCAGCTACATTTTGTACATGGAACAGTACATGCAGGAATATTTTGCTGAAAAGAAGTTGTCGAGCAAAACTGTAGAACGCGAGAAACGCAATCACACACGTATGCGCAAATGCGAAATTATTAATATATAGGCAATAGAAAGCCTAAAACTTTGATTCTTGTTTCATAGTGGAGTTAAACCCATTAAGTTTTAGAATGTGACCTGCTCTTGTAAAATGTACCTTTCCACACAAATATAGATTTTCTGCTTGGTGCTTTGAAAGCCGATAACTCTATTGTTTTAGACACAGGTGAAAACTGCGAAGTCGATCTACTGCTTGTAGCGCCTGCAGCGTCCCCTTGTATTTGTGGGCATTGCAATATCTTTAACTGACATGCCCCTGGGTGCGGGTGTTTTTTGCGTATAGCGTTTTGACGAAAGCAGCTACAAAAGTGTGGTTTCTTTTTCTGTATGCAGCATGAGGTGCACATTCGAATGATAAGCGTAACTCAATTTTGAATTTATGTGTACCTTTCTCGCAGAGGGTCACAAATAAAAAAATTTTGTTTGGAAGCTTACTTAACAAACCATACAAGTTTGTTTGGCGTGTTCGTTGACCTTTGCCACGCAGGGGTCCTGCCCAGTTTTTCGAAGAGGCTCTAGAGGGATATGAATATGCTAATGAGATTTTAAAGTGCCGGAAAAATTGACTGTAAATCACAAGCATTTTAGCCGTGCTATCAAAAATAAGTTGCCGAACAAACTCATCGGCACCTTGTGCTGCAGTGCTAGTGCAGTATGTGAAATAAAGGTGCTAGAGGGCGTGGTCTAGATAGTTGTAGAGCTCTAGGCGAAGCCAAGTGTTTTATGGGCTATCTACGCAGGCCTTGAGTATGTTTATGAGCATATAGCTTGTCCCTTGCTTTAATTGCTTTTTTAACCGTGGGTGATTCAAAGGTACGAATGAAGCCGGTTCGCGGGGAGGTGGTCTCGTCTCTCCCTGTGACTCAGCACTAAACAGAATGGCTAAGATACAACACCTAGGGGTAGGGAAACTGCTATTTACTAGGCTGGTTGCTGTTCCTCACAATGCTAGCTTCCCTGTTAGCACTTACATACACATCTTTTAACCGTCTCTCTTTCCTTTCGCTGTGCCTGAAATGCCCTGTTTGGCAGCCGTTCTTTACTGCTGAATTTTTAAAACTCTGTTAGTTTTCTTTAATGGCAAAAATAAAGCCCTTGCGTTTCCTTTGATCTGTTCATGCAAATTACAAGAAGTAAACACGAAACCTAACAACACGTGAGGGAGTGTTCCTTACTTTAGTTCTTTTCATTCAGTAAAGTTTTTTGTTTTTGCATTTATAGGCTTAATTTCTTACCTAATCCACAAGATGGAAGTATCTATTTCTACAATAATCAAAATTTGGAGGTGAGTATGAGTTATTATCACATCTTTTTAACATCAGCTTTCAACAATTGGTTTAGTCTGTAGAATAGAAGGGGGTGTAGTGTAGGGACTTATGATAATATACCATGTCTGAGGATTGTAACGAGGCGATTGTGTCGCGTATTTCAGCCTGTCTTCGGAAGATTGGGCGTAGATGTGTGCTAGATGATACTAAATCCAGCCGCGCTAAAGTGGCTGTACACATATTGGAGTTAATGGGTTTTTCCCAGCTGGCTGATAGTGAGAATGAGTGTGTAGCTGGTGTTTCTCTTTCGGTTATTAGTCAGAAGATGAGAGGCCAAAGTAATAAGGACAGAAGGCTCTAAGGGTCGCTACATGGAATTTTTCAGGCCTTTGTAGTGAGCGTAAGCAGAGAGAGGTGAGGGAGGTTTTGAAAAGGCTCAATGATTATGTAGTAGCTTGACAGGAATCTTGTGAGGGAGGGCAAGACTGTTGCTGTTGACCGCTATAGATGGTTTGGAAAGCCTTAGAAAGAATCTGGGTAGTAGTAGGGGGGAAGGAAGGGTTGGGTTCTTTGTTCGGGAAATGAGGTAGAGCTTTTAAGTAATGTCAGGTATGAGGAGAGCTTGTTAAGGTTCAAGGTGGGAGAGGGAGGGAAGCTTGTACATGTGTTGCATTTACATGCCTAAAGATAGTGCTTGTGCTTCGATAGTTACATCGGTTGAGTGTGTGCCTGGATTCATGCAGAGGGGGAGCGTAGTTCTTTTTGGTTGATCTACGATTATGTTTTGGGGATGTTTGGGACGGAGATATGTAATGCCACTGAAAAAAGTTTTATTGAGTTGGAGCTGGTGATATGTGTGTCGGAGCCTGAAGCAGTAATCAGTAATATAGTATGTAGTTATGGATGTGCAGTTGATGGAGGAGTCTGGGAGATGTGCAGTTTGATACAACTGATATTGGTGCCTCAGATCATTTTTTATATGGCCTGAGTTGGGCCAGGTTGCAACGTGTTGCTTATTGGACAATAAGGAGAATGCATCTAGACTAATTTTCAGATAAGGGGGTTAGAGCGAAGTATAGGGAAGCCTTTAAAGCAAAGGTTGATTCGTTTTCCGAGAGCATCAGGAAAGAGTGTGTGAGGGTAAGAAGTTGGCTAGTCAGTGCAGTTGTAGAGGGGTGGTAAAGAAGGTGGCAAGGGCTGAAGTATGAGAGAAGGCAGTAGTGTGTGGCAGGGCAGTCGGGTGGTGGGATGATGAGATTAAGCAGAAGATAGAGAAGAGAAGGAATGTTTACAAGAGTATTCTTAAAGGTTAGGATCTATGGGAGGAATATAGCTACGTAAGGAGGTGAAGGATTTAGTGGTTGAAAAGAAGTTTGAGGTTTCGAAGAAGGTGGTGGAAAGAACAAATTCAAATTTTAAGTAATAGGAAAGAATTTTGGCCATTTGTTAGCTGAACGACAAAAGGTAAGATGAAGGGGATAAAAGCATTGAGGAATAGTACAGGGGTGTCAGTAAGGCAAGCTAGAGGTGTTAAAGAGGCATTATCAGCAGTTGGGCACCTGGAGTGTTGATACAACAGTTGTTTGCAGGAATGTGGCATGAGGAGTTTGTGCCACCACAGTGGAGGGAGGGCCTCATATAGTTAACATAAGAAAGGAGATAGGAGGATCCAGTGAATTACAGGGGCATCGCTCTGCTGAGTGTGGCTGGGAAGGTCTTTTGTGAACAATAGGTTGGTGAAGGATCTGGACAAGGGCAAAGCATTGCATGATGGTCAGGCTGAATATAGGGTTAAAAGGGGTTGTGTTGATAATATACACTAAATGAACTCGTGCAGGGTAGACTAAGGAGAAATTTGCATTATTTCTAGATGTGCAGAAGGGATACGATAATACATATGTGACGTAACAGCCTGTTGTTAAAGTTGTGGGAATTTGGGGTCAGATGAAAGATGTGGAGGGTCATTAAGAGGATGTACGATTCTTCAAGGAGTGCTGTATTGTTGGATGGGGAACGGTCAGAGTCATTTGATGTGGAGCAAGGGGTAGCTCAGGGATGTAGCTTATCGCCAATTTTGTTTTCTGTGTTTTTCAATGGGTTGTTGAGGGAGGTAGAGGAAGCTGAGATTGGGATTGATATACTGTATAGCGGAAAATCTTCGCATGGTGCAAAATTTCCGCATTTTTTGCAGATAGGTCTCGTCCAGCGATGCACGGAATCGCGGCTGAAAAGCGTCGTTTCTCAAAGGAGTTACATGCCGACTTGAAGGAGAACACGATACATACCTGGAAGACAAAGTACTTGGCGGAAATATGTCATAAAAAGTGATCGCATGTGTGCACACTCAGCTAGCTAGCCGCGGGTGCGGGACCTGATGAAATTGGCGTGGTTCGGAAGCGTGACAATAAAACCACGAAAATTCTTCTGGGGGCTCCAGAGGCGATTTCGCGAAATTTTGCACCAGCAATAATAGCCTGCTATACGGTAAGTAGTGGTAGGAGACCTTGAGGACTTGTGGGTGCCGATGACTTTCTTTGTGTTAGTGAGTCTAAGGATCAGTTACATAGATGTGGTGCATGTTCACTGTCGGAAATGGAGGCTAAAGGCTAATGTAAGTAAGAGTGCAGTGATGGTGTTCGCTAGGGAGTCAGTGGATGGTCCTTGGAAATGGGGGGAGCATATTCTTCCTATATTATCTAAATACACATACTTGGGTGTTGTTTTACTAGTACTAGTGCATTGTGTTAGACAGTGGGAGAAAGAAGGTCGATCAGTTGCATAGTGTTATTAGTAGTAGGGATAATAATTTAAGTGCTTGCAGGTTGTTGTTGCTGGAAGTGGTTAGGCAAAATTTTGAGTATGGGAGTGAGGCCAATGAGACTCAGGAAGCGATGTTAGAGTCCGTGATGCTTGGAGGAGCTAAGCGCATTCTTGGGTGTTTGTCAAAGACATGTAATGAAGCTGTTAGAGGGGATATGGGATTGATACGTTACAAGGGTGGAGAGGTAGTTAAAGTGGTGGTGTAAGATAGCTGCAATAGGTATCCAAAGGAGCTTTTTAATCAGGAATGGAATTTTAATTCATGAAAAGGCCGGCATAGGAAGTGGTGGAGGTAAGTCATGATCTTTTTCATCATTAGGTATTGATAAGGTAGGGTGGTTGCATGATATTTAACCCTCAGTGCGCATCCGCAGCGAGGGTTACAGTAATTGGTTTGTGTGTGTGTCTGTTACCACGTTTTCTGCCACTAGGCGCGACAAGACAGCCAATAAGCTATGCCAATAGGTTCGGCGCTACACTGGCTTCATTATTTTTGTAAAAATGCTGCGTTCGAAAGTTATGGCGTGAAAAGCAAGTGAACAAACCAATATGCAAATTAGCACAGGCTTACCTCGACAAGATGTTCTTGCTCTGAGTACCTTGGAGGCTCAAGAAGTCTACTGTGGCTAGCCCGTGTAAGACTCTCCGCAAGCTACTAGCAGAAGACCACAAGTAAGCACGTACTACGGCCCAGCCCATCAATTAGCGGTATCGTGCTTGCGCAGTTCGCCTAGGGTTGTTTGCAATTCTTTGCTTTTCATCAAAGTTGGAATTGCTCCTTGACGGGCTTTCTGTCCATAGTTGGGGGGAGTATCAACGAAAGGGAGATTAGAAAGTTTGATGAGGGGCTAAATAGCAAAGTAAAGCTTAAAACGTTTGTAACAGGTAATGCAAGCATAAATGTAAACCATGCTTAACATGTACATTCCCTGCAGGTTACAAGTCATCTTCTTGTTTTGGGCTTTGTAATACCGATGGTGTACTAGTCTTTGTTTGTGTAGGTGGCAGGGGAGGCTCAGTTTTATGCCATAGTCATCGGATTGACACTTAGTAGTTACCGACATTAGATCTCAAGCACCAGCCCCTCCCTATCCATAGCACCATCTCCCCTCTCTCTTGTGCCAACTTTGAGTTCAGCAGTGTCCCACAGCAACGCAGGCAGGGGCCCTTCTCACCGCTCTGCAACATCATTGAGCACCCCATCAACTTCCCGATTTGCAGCCCTGGAGACCAACGAAGAAATGGCTGAGGCAACAAAGAATGGAGTTCCCCGACGGACGCAACAAGATACGCTGTACTGTATTAGGCTGTGGGATGAGTGGTGTAAGCACCAAGACACCATTACTGGAGTGAATACTGCACCTCTCATCAAACTTTCTGAGTCTGAGCTAAACCACTAGCTCACATGTTTCATCTTGGAGGTAGGGAAGAAAGATGGCTCCCTCTACCCACCTAACTCCCTCCATCACATTGTTGCTTGCTTGGTTCACCATTTGAGACAGATGTTCGTTGAAACATAGACATCTTCAAAGATCCTGGATTTTCCACCTTCCGGGCTTCATTAGATTCAGAAATTAAATGGATATCCAGTGAGCGAATAGGGTCAAAGAAGAAACAGGCCGAGATAGTCATGGAGGAGGAGGTGATATTGTGGGTTAAGGGAGTGCTTGGCGATGAAACACCTCAACGCCTTCTGGACACAATGGTGTTCTACAATTGACTATATTTTGCCTTACGCAGTGGTCTAGAGCATCGCCAGCTTTGACACAGACCTTGCCAAATTGAGGTAGTAGAGCGACCTAATGAAAGGCTATACTCAGAAGACATCTCAAAGAATCGGCCTGGTGGCTTGAAGGTGCACAATACAAAACCCAAGGTTCTGAAGCATCGCGCAAACCTTGAGGTCCCTCACCGATGCTTCGTCCGCCTCTACCAGTCATTGTGCCCCCTTGATGCTCCCGAGGGGGCATTCTACCTGCAACCAGCTCACAAACCTACACCAACCTGCTGGTTCTCCTTGGTCATAACCCACTGGTCAAAACCGTTTCAAGAATGGGCAGTTCTGCCAGAATTGAGGGGTACAAAGCCAACCACTCACTTTGTGCAACATCTACAAGCCGTCTTTACCATTCAGGGGTTAACGAGAAATTTGTGATGGAACGCACTGGGCACAAAAGTACTGATGGTGTCCGTAGCTACAAACGAACATCAGAAAGCCAGAGAGAAGCCTTCCGGACATACTGAACAGGAAAATACCCGAGGTAGAAGAACCATCCACTGTGCCCATTCCTTCTTCTGCAACACCTGTAATCCAAACCCGGAACATTTTTCAGGCATCCACACACAATCAACTGCAGGGCCTCAACCTGTCCTTAGCTCTCTTCTCTTACTGCACAGTTCACTTCAAAAACTGTAGGATAGTACGCATCCTCTACTCAGTATTCTTATTTTACTGCCATAGTCATGGTGTCTACTTCTAGCTGTGTCTAGTTTCAGTTGTAAAACTTGCACTTTCATTAACATACAAATAGCATGCAATCTACATTTACATGTAAATTTAGTATTTTTTGTGTATTATCACCCCTCGAGGTTTACTACAGGATGTAGTAAACTTCGGCTTTGGAATCTGATTGGTCAATTCGAACCTACTGTGCCTTAAAATTAGGTGATATCAGCCTCCATGATACTTATTTCGCCAAAATTGTGTTCTCACACTTTAATTTCACCTGCAGCTTCACAAGAACTCCCTTCCACTATGTTCCAACGTTCTGTCGCTGCTTTTCCTCTATCCCCTGAGGAGTTTTTTGGCCACAGAATGTCCAATGATACGTGGCCTCTTTTTAAACGGTTACTCATGTCATATTGAATCGGTGTGGGAACAAAACTTACTAAAGGACAGAGAAGGTCATATCAAACTCCATCAATACTCATATCTGATGCTGCTACTCTCGCAGATTTTCTCTTTCTCTCACTTAAATAACATTTGCTGTTACATTACACTGTACGAAGGCATTGAAGAGTATGAAGCTCTTCAACTTGATGTTTGGTTTTGAGTGTACACACATCCTTGATCAGTTTCGAGTGTTCATTGATAAGAGGATGTACTTCGAGCCCGGAAAATTCAACATTCTGTCTTGCCCATGGCCTGTTTCCATTCCTGAGGTTAAGTGTGGTGGAACCCCCTCGCACTCTTGACGTAGTGTGACAGACTTTTTTATATTCATTTTGATACCTACTCCTGGTGTAGTTGATTTATTGTTGTGCCTTTGCCTTTCAACCTCATAGTTTTCACCTGCACAATCTGAAATATACATAATTTCAAATAATAGTACCCTAGCCGTATAAGTTTGTGCTGTTCTGTTGAACCTTTTTAGTATGTTCAAGCTGGGTATATATCCTGTTTTTCCCAGGCTTCTATTTTAGCCTCAAGAGCACACATTGGCTGTAATGTTTAACTTGCCTGTGAATACTACAGCACACTCTTTATTGCCTATTTTGTTCAGCATTCAGTTGTTGTTCTATAATATTATTTTTAATAGCGTCTGCCACTTACAATCCCAGAGCTCGTGCACATGTCACCAATGCGAAGTGCCGATGGACTTCTATACACAGGTATTTCCCAAATAGTATGGTTTTGTGTGTAGTGATTTTTGATTGCGTGTTGCAAAGAGGGGCTCTTATCTTATTCCCGTTGATTTCAACAATCATACATACTTTTTCCATAGTCGTGACTATTTTTATGAACAACTAGAAGGGGCTGCAATGGGCTCACCTTTATCCCCAATAGTAGCCAATATGTTTATGGAAGCCTTTGAAGACCGTGCACTAGACACAATAGAAAAGAAACCTAAGGTGTGGCTTCGCTACGTTGATGATGTGTTTGTGATATGGAACCACGGAAAAAATTCTCTACAGTCTTTCCTAGGTCATCTTAATAATCAACATAAGAACATTAAATTTACTTTGGAGGAAGAAAAAGACAGAAAAATCCCATTCCTTGATGTACTAGTCGAGAGATCACAGTCCAAACTCTATACATCAGTTCACAGGAAGGAGACGCATACCAATCGCTACATCAATTTCAACTCTCACCATCATCGGAGGACACTAACTGGTGTTATCAAAGGCCTAAAACAGAGAGCGGAGAGAATTTGTCACCCGTCAAAAAGATATCAGGAAATGAAACACCTGGAGGAAGTATTTGTGGCAAATGACTATCCACGAATCCTAGTGAAAAAAGTATGAGAGTCAACCATCGTAAAAGAGATGTGATAAACACACAGGAGAAAAAACCGAAAAATATTCTGTATCATCCATATGTTCGTGGTGTAGCTGAGAAAATTGAACACCTGTGCCACTCTATTGATCCTAGCATTCAGCAGGTATTCAAGTCGTCCAATACATTACGCCAGTCTCTAGTGCATGTTAAAACACCAGTTACCACAGAGAGGAAGAGAGGAGTCGTCTATTGTATCCCATGCAAAGACTGTGAGTACGTTTATATAGGTGAAACTGGTCGAACACTACATAAAAGGATTTCAGAGCACAAATATGCCATCAAACGTCAGGATAAGAACAAGGGTATATCTGTACATGTGTGGTCAACTAACCATGTTATTGATTGGGAGTCAGCGAGTGTAAAAATGCTTTCGTCCAGACTGTGGGAAAGAAGAGTACTGGAAGCGGTTGTGATCCGCCAAGAGAGACTGACTATGAACCTGGACTGTGGTCTCAACCTGAGCGACATCTGGGAGCCAGCATTACACGCCACACATATAACCCCAACCTCAGAAACATCAACTCAAGCTGTCAGCACGTAAACTGTTGTGCATTTCAGAAACATCAACTCAGGCTGCCAACACGTAAACTGTTGCTCCTTTTCTGGCCACAGCCCTTAGCCATTTTTCCTTTAAATTCTGTAACCATCTTAGTTGTGCAGTTCACTGAAGAAGGTCTACGGACCGAAACGTATGAAACATCTTTTGAAGTTAATGCTACGCAAGCTCATTAAAATAATTGTTAATCATACATACTGTCGAGGACATATATAAGTGTTTTGATATCATTTCCATGATACATCACAATTCCTTCTTGAATTTTCTGTAAGATGCAAGAAGATGAAACTTCGTCTGCATGTGTAATTGCAATTTTCAGGCAAAGCCCACTTCTTAGCATATTTAGCGTTTTTTTAGGTTACTAAAGGGAATGTGTTATCACATAAGGGCTAAATTTAGAAATGTTACTAATGATAATAGGGCCCAGTGCAAGAATGCAATTAGGTTCCCATTGTCAGTAGCAGTTACCCCTTGCATACTGCCACATTCCCTTTAAAATTGCTAACAGAAAGAGCTGCCTATGTAATTAAGTTCATGTGCTTGTCACACATTTTTTAACACGCATTATGTGATTTTCCCATTTGTTAGATAATGTTACTACAACATCCACATTTGTGTACTTTTTAGAGAGATCTTGTAAAATATTTTGTATTGTACGTAGGTTAGATGCCGAGTCCAGGAAACTACGCGAATTAGAGAGCCGCGGGGGCCCTGAGCTGTTGGCGTTCGAGCGCAGCGAGGATGCTACTAAAGGGCCCCCAAGGCCCTCTAATGCGCGTAGTTTCCATGATGAGGCGTCTAACCGGTTTAGAGCTATGGTAGCACGTTCATTCAAACCAAACGCGCATTGGAGAAATGGCGACAGGCTTCGATATCTTCGGAGAGACTATCCGTGACTGGCTTGAAGAACCAGACAACGATGAGGCTGAGCCTGTGTCTCTTCTCCTAGCAGCGAGCGACGACTCAGAAGACCCCGCCCAACAGCCAAGTTGCCTGCCACTCCCACTCCCGCTTTGCTCCTACAAAGAGCGATCTTTCGACTTCAGAGAGTAGTTTAGTCTCAGCAAACTAAAACGGTGAAGCACGTGTGCGCATGCGTGGGAATTAGTGTCCGGCGAACTCTAATTCCCCTAATTCCGGACTCTACGCAAATTAGAGTCCGCTCACGAACCAATCAGATTGCGCGATTTAAATTACTTAGCTCTAATATTGATACACGTTACCGGGTGTTTGGTTATTTTGGGCGTATGCACTACGATAATTGAAAGGCTGTATGCATATACGAGAGTTGAAAGGCCTGTGTGCCCATTTCTTCTCTGCAGGATATTGATATATAATCAAGGTTTCACCCTTTATTGACTGCAGAGTAGTTATCTGGTTGGTCTGGGCAGCTCTTTCCTTTTGAAGAAGAGTGTTGTCCTTCTGTTTCTTGATTTGTTTACTTCGTATTTGTAAAGTAGATCTCAACTTTCGCCAACATAATTTTTCCTTCTTTTGTCCATTTTCCTGTTGTAAATCGTATGGTGTTTTCGTTGCAATTTGTTTATTTGTCATTACCATCTTCATTGCAGCTTTTAATGTAAGTCGTACTTTGATATTTATAGCGATGAAATCAGATATGTGGATGGAAATTGATCGTCATAGTGGTAAAAAGCTTCACACTATTAGCAGTGAAGGCTCCATGTCTTCATGTCCTGCAACGGAAACCTACACCAGAAGTTTTTTTATTGCAAGAACAGGTAAATACAGTTCATAGTTTTCCGAACTTGTGACTTCAACCCCTTGTGACAAATGTGTTTTTTCCCCTCTAGCCTATACACTACGTGTTTATGACAGTGTGACAAAAGAGAAAAGGTACATACACAAGTAGAAATTCACAGCTAGAGGATGATGTAAGCTCTACCTCTTAAAAACCACATGGTCACATTAATAACTGACCAAAGTTTGGGGTTACTGAGAAATAAGGCACTGCGAGCATTCACGTGCAATTCACACGCTAAATGTAGCACAGAAATAAATGCTAAACACTGCGGAAAGACTCTATATTGTTGTATCAGAGCACTTCTCTATAGCAAAAAAGACAGCAGATGAAACAAAACTGCGAATTCATTGAAGCACTTGCTATCCCAACCTCCGAGCGTCACCCTGCCATTTTGGCCGAAGTTTTGCCCATTTCTGTTCCCGGAGGTTTGTGCTAGCGGTTAGAAGCGCTGCGGTGTCGTCTCAGAGCCACAGCAACAGCCATTTGGTTGTGCAGGAACCACCTAACCAAGGGTATGTATCCTAGACTAGGAGACCTGTTGCCCAACATTAAAAATTTTTATGTCAAGAATGCTTTGATGTGGAGTGTGTTCTTTTCACTATTCCAGCATCTTAGTGATCCACTGTGAGATATGCTAATGAAAATACCTGTGGTAATGCTATGTTGCTAGGAATGCCATTTAGTACCATGATTAGCTCTAGTCCGACCCTGAAAACAAGGGACCTTTATTGCACAACGGGTATAGTCATGCCAACGGCTACTCAGTTGGTTGGCGGCTCTGAGACCCTTACTTCGCTGGTTCTAGCTAGTGCAACACGCCTCCAGTAAACAAATAGGGTAAAGAACCTCGCCAAAACTGTCCAATGAAGGTTCTAGTTCCGTTCGAAGTTTGGTTAGTAGTTGGTTGCAACTGAAACTTGCCACTTACCATTTTCTAAGTCATAAGACGTAGGAAGCGAACGTCTTTGGGTTTTGGTTCTTACAGTACTCACCACTGCACACCTCAAGGTTCTATTGCGCCCCTCTCCCGTAGACATAAATTTAAAACATTCACACATTCCACCTTTACCTGGAAATAAACCTTTTTTGCAATTCTCCTTAGGTAAGCTCCTGTATAGACAATCATAATTATTTGTCACTAAGTTCAGTAGTGTTTAGTATGTAGGGATGGGCATGGTACCTAGCATTTGTATGGGGCTATGATAGGGAGTTTTGTTCATCATTATCATCTCATACCAAAAGAGATAAAGCCATGAAATTTGTATGAATGTACGTATCCATAACCACATATGCAATGTCATACTAAACAACAACAAATTGCCCCAGACAATACGTTATAATGGGGACACGAGTGTTAGTGTTACTCACAGATGTTAAGAGCTCTGCAAATGAAAGTTTGTATACTCAGTCAACACTATCAAAAACACAACAATACATGTTTGTAAAAAACAACAAATATCCTCAGGCAATTTTCTTTAAAGTTACTCCTTAGCTTGCCAATACGTATAACCTCAGGTACATTACAGTCCCAGTCTCAGAATGCGTGATAAGCGAAACATGGCAAACGAACATATTCGAACACGCTGACACCCCCGACCCCATCACCCCATCCTTATATTGTTTCCCAGGTGAAGTAAACACAAAACTCTGGACTTATACGTAATATGTTGAAAAGAGCAAAAAAATTTCATCTTACGGCATGGGTAGCCAATGCAGTTATAAGAATCCAAATTGATTAGTAGTGCGCCGATAGTTAAAGTATCTTGTGAACAGCATTATCACAAAACATTGGTGGGGCAGACTATAGATATATGTATGTGCAGAGGTTACGTTGAGATGCTGAAAGAAATAGCGATGTAAAATCTCATTTGGTGAGCTAAGTTTTGAAGCTAGGCACCAACACACTACGAAACTCTAATTCTTCAGTTTTCACCATGTATTTTAAATCCTTCATCCACCACGTTCTTATCTTTTTTCACCGTATGCAGATGGGATGCCACGTACTTGGAGTATAATTCATATTCATCCACACCAACTATTAACAGAGGTATGTTTTATGTTTAACAAAAACAGCCTGTTGTTTATGTATGTTGTGATACGTTATGCACAAGTCTTAGGAAATCACTGAGGAGTTTTCAGTGCTTGCAGCTACTGATCCTCGGCGTGCACGCGCAGCAAGGGTTACTGTGCCTGGTCTGTCTGTCTGTCTGTCTGTCTGTCTGTCTGTCTGTCTGTCTCTCTCTCTCTGTCTGTCTGTCTCTGTCTGTCTGTGTCTGTCTATACCGCATTTTCTGCCACCATGCACAGCCGGCCAAAAAGCGACACCAACGGGTTCAGCGCTACACACAGGTGTTTCATGCATGCAAAATGCGCTCATAAAATTAAATTATGCGTGCCCCGCAGATGTGGTTATTATGGAGCTAGCCGAGTACACCTTAGTAATCTGGAGGTGTAATTTACACAGTCATTAGAAAAGTGTTGCTGCCACAATGATGTGCGCAAGCAGAAGTTTTGCAATTTGCATGCCATGAATATGTTTAGCAACTGCATGTTTCTGCGCAGCTGTCGGTTTCAACCGCTTACTTCATCCATGAAAAGCTATGTTTTTGGACCGAATGAGGTTTGTAGTATAGATGAATACTTCTGAAGTACAATAACATTCACACAAGTTGGTGAACAATTTTGTTGTTGTTGATACACACCATCAAAGTCGCAAAATGAATCGTGATGTCCATGACAAGAACTTCTGCAGAATATGTGCATGAAAGCTGACGAAGGGGTCTATAAAAACACAAATGTAGCAGCAGTGGCACTCTGCTAGAGCATCTTAGAATTTAGATCTCTGACGATGAGAGGACAGTTCACCTCCCAGTTTACTGCCATAACTGCAAAACGGCTAGGAAAGGATAGTTGGGCAGAAGGTAGTACACATCTGCACATTCTGCTGTATGTGAGATGTGCACAATGAGCTCTCCACTGTACCTGGGAAGAACAAACTGGGAAGATCAAGCAGGAAAGGGATCGCCAATGTAATAAACAGCAATGCTTTGAAAAGACTTATGAAAATGACTGATGCACTTTCTCTATCACGTTTTCTACCCCCCTCGAACCTTCAAGTGTGCTATCTGTCACAATAATATTATTGTAAATCGTCCAGTAACAACTTTATCTGGTGAACTGCTTTGTCGAGAGTCCATTAGCAACACATTAGAAGCAGGAAAAATGAAAATATGCAGTGTCCATATGCATTCACATGCATTCCATTACACACACATTTACACAAGCTTCAGATGTTGTATTGAAAGGGGGGTTATTACTACATTATGAGAAGCCTATTTGCTCAGCAGCACTGACCCTAGAAAACCTCGCGACCATATACAGTCTTGTTGCAAAACCACCACATGACCACCATTTGCCTGCTAGGAAATGCCTCGAAGTTAATATCCCATACACGCCGTGCAGAGATTTTAGAGGCAGTAGACCCTTTATGGTCCAGATATGGTTCAGACGAGTTACCCTCCTCTCCAGTACACCGTTTTGTGAGGAGTTTCAGGGGACACTATCGTGGAGAAGGACACAACACTGTCCAAGGCCGTGTCAATCACGAGATGGGCCAAGAAGGAGGATCACTCCTTTTCCTCAAAGAGGGTGGGAGTAGAAGCGACCTCAGCCCTCCTGTAAAGTACGGGGCAGGCAGAGCAAGAGGTTTTTTCCGTACAATCCACATTTTGCCAGCAGGCAAGGGGAACGCAGCCAATCAAGGCAGCAGGTATCCAACCACCAACCGAGGCAGGGTCAAGCCACCTTATACCACGAGCCTCACTTAGCGGGGGAAACCCCACAAAAGAAGTTCTGAGGCTTCTATCACAGTTATCGAGACAAGCAAGCCAGACAACTTGGGATTTAGTCACACAACACAACAACTCCAGTAGGCGGCCGCCTCGCATTGTTCAAGAAAAACTGGATGGAGTTACAGAAGACTTCTGGATCCGGGAGTTGGTGCTGGATATGTTGGCGATAATGTCGAAAGAGATAGAGGGGCTGACAGCAAAGAATGCGGTGACCAGAGCGTCGGAGGATACAGGGGCCTTCATGAATTCCTTGATCCCTGTTCCAGCGGACGGCTCTTGGCTGCCAGTGGTGAACACCAAACCACTGAACCGCTTCGTGGTGTTGCCCCATTTTAAGATGGAGTCAGTGAGGCCAGTGAAAAACCTCATGCAGCCAGGAGATTGGTTGATAAAACTGGACCTCAAAGATGCGTACCTGACGGTACCATTTATCAACGCCACCGGTGCTATCTCAAGTTTCAGTGGCAGGGAGTGGTATGGCAGTTCAAGGTGCTGCCCTTTGGCCTGAGTTCAGACACATATATCTTCACCATGACCATGAAACCAGTGGTGTCGTGTCTAGGTGGCTATGGATCAGAATGATCCTGTATCTAGACGACATGCTGCTTCTGGATCAGTCCAAAGAGAGGCTGCTACATCACCAGGCTTCAACCTTGAAGCTGTTGGTCACCCTGGAGTTTCTGGTGAACCTAAAGAAGAGTGTATTGTCCCCAACCAGGAAATTGGAACTCCTCGGAACTCCTCCAAGATGCTTATCTCTTTCCCATGGCCAAAAATGCACTCAATCACCCAGTTGGCCAGCAGCCTAGTGGCCAAGGAGAGGGTGACTTTGAGGGACCAGGCAAGAATAATGGGCACAATGGTGGCAGCATACCTGTCTGTCCTCCCAGCACCACTCCATTACCACTTCCCAAATCATCTTCCATACCAGGCGAAGGTGGAGATGACGCGGGACATGGTGGATCAACGAAGCCAACAGGCGCAACGGGAGAGACTTAGAGATCCCTCAGTTGGACCTCGTCATAGAGTCTCATGCCTCAGAGATGGGCTGGGGAGCGTGCTTACAAGAACTTGCAGCAACAGCACAGCATCAACTATCTCGAACTGCTAGCAGCTTTTCTAGGCCTCCAGATGTTCATGTTATCGAAGAAGGACATTGCGATCCTACTTCGCCGTGACAGCTATTGCTTGTCTTAACAAATTGGGGGTGGGAGACACTCAGACAGACTATCCAGACTGGCCATGAAGGTATGGAGCTGGTGCCTCCGGAAGAATATCATCATCCATGCAGAGCATCTCACAGGGAAAGAGAATGTTCAGGCTGACTGGGAATAACGCCACATGTCAGAGTCAAACGACTGGAGGCTGGACAGGGGAGTGTTTCGCGACCCTGGACCAGCAGTTTGGTCCTTTTTCGATAGACCTATTCCCATCTCGGACAAATCATCAGCTATCAATTTACTGCATCTGGAGACCGGATCCGACAGCGTAGGCAGTAGATGCTCGCTATGTTCACATGTTCACCTTTCTCCCTCATCCCACGGTGTCTGAACAAGCTGAAAACGGAGAAAGCTGCGGGCCTATTATCGCAACCAAGTCTGGTTCCCTCAGTTGTTGGGTGCTCTAGTGGATGAATTGGCTCCTCTGCAGGACGTATTCACAGGTGCAGGAGGTCAGGCCCACCCTCTGGTTCTGGAGGGTAATCTGCCCTTAGCCGCGTGGCCTTATCCGGAGAGACCTCCGATAAGGAGGATTTTCGGAGGGATTTGTCAATATTATCCATCGGTCATGGCGGAGTTCAGAGTCCTCATACTGTAGTGCATGGAAAATGTGGGTCAGCTGGTGTTGCGGAAGGCGTGTCTATCCCATTTCGGCCCCTCTGAGTAGGGTTCTTGAGTTTCTGGAACAGTTTCAGGAACGGTTTCAGGCCGGTAAACAGTAATAGTTTTCGTTCAGCAGTCTAATGACCCACGATGACATAGACAGAACACGGATAGGCCAGCATCCTATGATGTACCGGTTCCTCTGAGGTGTGTTTAACAGCCGTCCGCCGGCACCCAGGTATAGATCGACCTCGAACACAGATGTGGTACTGAAGCACTTGGAGAGTGCTTCTGATAATCAGGACCCAAGCACTGATTCACGAAGTGGCAATGCTTCTCGTATTGGCTGACGCAGACAGGTGTTCTGACCCTGCCGCACTGGACGTCAACAGTGAAACCGGCACAGTACGGTTTGTCATCACTGCTCTAACAAAGACTTGGCGGAGTGACCCTCCGTTAGAAGCATTCTATCCGGCCTTCCTGGACAACTCTCGTCTTTGTCCGGTCCGGCCGGGCCTGTAGGAGTACGTCGCCAGAACAGTCTCTCTAAGGTTACACATCAGTGAACGGAGTCCACTGATTATTGCTGTGTAAGATGTGGTGCCTGGTTGAGGAGGGATGCCATGAAGTAGACCTTGAGATGGCAACACAGCTCCCACAACCCCACTAACCATGAGACCTTCTAATAAGAAGCTGAGACAGCTGAGAGTGAATCTTGTCCAGCTGGTCAATGCTGTACAGGGGGACATCGCTATCAATTCAGGTTCTATTACCCTAGTGCAGGCTCTCACACTTGTTTTAAGTTAACCTGTCATTATAGGAGAGGGAGATTACAACCACAGAACAGAAGGCTTCCCTAAATGAGCAAGGTGCTGAGTCTAAACATGCACGCATCATCAGTCTGCAGAGGACTTATGGAAGCATGCAAAACAAGGTTGAAAGGCTTAAGTGTACCGTTAGGAACACTTTTGCCAAATATGCCCAGACAACCTGCCACGAACGCCATCTGCCAAACGACCCAAAGAAAGTGCTAAAGCTCACCTCTTACTTGCCTTATGACTTATCTAGTAGTAGACCACCTATTTTGTTCATGTGTATAGCTAAGTGCCATGACATTGTGGCATGAGAATGAGTGGTAGCAGTACCACGCATGTGCAGTTCCCCAAGGGTTTGCACTTTAGTGCTTTTAATATTTTTGGCCGTAGTAAGTACTGGTTAAACATCAACTTGATAGCGAGGTAGAAAGGCAACGGCATGATATTATCCCTATTGTGTATTTTGAGCAGAATCATCGTCATGTGACAAAACTAGCTGGAAATTTGTAAATTAACATTTTCACTAATCAAGATGCAGTGTGCATATGAAATAGCAATTATTATCCAAAGTGCTAAACCTTAGGTAGATCCGGGTATTAAAGAAGACATACTGGTGTGGACAAACCTCAAAACTTTACGTTTGCCATACAGCAAGAAAGACGTTTTGCAGACTGTCTTATTCTCAGGCTTCACGTGAGCCATTTCACACAAACCGGCTGATATGAGCCATTTTATGACCATGCATCAGCAAGCAAACAAAGTAAAATCTGGTAGCTGTGGATTGCAAGCTTACCCTTGGTCAAACAGTTCTGTGTAAACAAATAGACAGACAGCTCGCTGAGCAACTGCCTCTACAGGCGATATACAGCGAAGACACACATCATTCCTTAAGAGTGCACACTTTTGCACAGAACAAAGTCGCATATACAGAAAGCCAAACAATGGCTTGCTCGAACGGAAGGAGACAGTTGCTATGCATTCTGCTTCTCTTAGAAACCAACTTACCGATGTTGAGAATTGACCAAAAATTTGCAGGGACCCCTGGAAATTTCACGACAGAGCACACAAAAAAATTTGACGATAACGCTTTTTTTAGTTGAGTCAATGTGGCGTGGCCACCTGCATGCCCGCAAAGACAACCAAGCTAGCGAGACACACCAAGCACGAAGAGTGCCAGTGCCCCAGTGAGTATTTAGGCTTACGTTTCATGGAGTTAGACCGTAGTTCTTGCTTGTAGATGCTTGCTGAGTGGGATGGTAGCGCGTGCCACACGGTTGTTTGTATCGCCCGCTGTTTTGTTAGTGCGTCTTAGTGAGGCAAACTCCATAATCGTCAAAAATAAATTTGCCATTACTGATACAGTCCCTTATACATGCAGACTTCATGTGTAAGGAGGTACCTCACCTCATTTAACTTCATAGGTCTAATGGAACAAGAAGAAGTTTTTTGGCTTTGTTTTAATGTATATTAATGGGATCACAGATCCCATACATTTTTGTAGGGGTGGGGAAATGCGCATTAAACAGAAGTCATACACCCATTTGCACATATGTGCACAATTGTGTTGCATGCTTTCTATGGTGTTTGTTTAACAACTGTTGGGAGGCAAAAATTGTGCTACGTACATGTTCTGTTCCATATTCAGGCATGTCAGCTAAATTTACTTGGAACTGGAATTTTTGTCACCCTAAAAAGCGTGCAACGCATTTGCACATGTATCTTCCCCCCCACACACACACAGCCGTTTATCTAGGATTAGTGCTTGGTGTTGGGTTATGATGGGCTAGCTCTTCCACCTTTGAATAGTACATCCTCCTTCACTTGGTTCTCCAATGACATTGTAAATGGGTGTTTGATGAAACTTTTATAATTCAAAGTTTATAACCAGGCACCACCTATAAATGTGATGCAATGATCTTATTGGTACAACCTCAGAAATTATCTTCCTTTGCGTTTGTAGATCACCTCTACTTCAGCTCTACTACGGATGACATGCTTATTTCAATTGATCCTAATACAGGTAATAGCACAATTTATTGTACATTTGGTAACCTTAATCTGCGGAGTAAAGAGATATAATCACTATCACACACACGTTTAAGATGTGCAACAGAGAGAAAACAGCAAGGTCCATGCAACATAGAAGACTTTGCTCTTGGTCATGCTCTCCCAGTATTTGCACCAACACGGAAGACGTCCCTTGACTCTTTCTCATGTCATTAACCCTCGGCGCGCATGCTGCAGCGTGGGTTACGGTAGTTGTCGTGTGTGTCTGTTTGGCTGTGTGTGTCTCACTTCACGAGCAAACGATACTGAAACAGCTGCTTTTCAGAAAAAGGCAATGTACTAATTAGAACAGGCTTACCTCGAGCAGGTCCGCTTGCTCAGTGTATCTTGAAGGCACAAGAATTCACAGCGAAGGGCATGTATAGACTGCCTATTGCTGTACCTAGCCCGTATCAGACTCTCCGCGAGCTTAGCTGGAGACCATGAGTAAACGCGTACTAATAGCCTAGCCCATCAATTAGTGGTACCGCGCATGCACAGTTCGCCGAGGGTTGCACTTTAGTGCTTTTCATTTGTTAGGGAGAATGAACAGAGTGCCATATACCATGTTCACTTGCTAACTTGTTTTAACCATATAACATTATTTTTCCTCTCTGTGTAGTAAGCAGAATGTAACACACGTACATATATACATTGACTTCTGCAGGTGCATGGTAATGATTTCCAAGAGTCAATTGTCAGTTTACATTTAGGCCTACTTAGATGCACGTCTGAAAGACCTTGTAACACAGTGGGCCTTGTGTATCTTTACCAGACCCTTCTTTATCTTGCACACACAAGATATAGACTATTCTTAAGCCTACCACTTCATACCTGTAACTTATGACATAACACTATATCCAGGGGTAGTTTGCTTTTCTTATGGATGGCAAACAGTCCTGGTGACACAAGAGCAACGGCTTAAATACACACAAGGTGGTGTTTCGCAGGAGGAAGAGTGTTGTTTTTTGGTATGGCAGTGAGCGGCCTAAGGCTTCGTTGTTAGGGAGAAGTCACATATGTTGCGCGTGCGGACATCCTAGGTACGGGGGCAGTGTGAGGCCAAATGCTCCGTTGTTGCTAAGCCTTGTCTGCTAACACAATATCTTCTCCTAGTAAAGGAGTGGAGGCATGCACTTGCGTGGTGTTGTGCGCATGCGCAGGAGTGAGTGGGGATGATGAGCTGGGGGACATGGTGGTGAGGATGCTGCCCTAAGGGAATACCAGAGGTAAAACCCTATGGGAGAAAATCCCTCTGGATAACCCAAAATGATAAGGGGAAGCCAGCTGTTTACAGAACCAAAAAACACTAGTAATGATTTAATGGGAGTCCCTGGGTTTTGTTCCAGGGGGTGAAGGAGTGTCTGCAGTGTATAGACTCAGAGGAAGACGGGGGTGGTCATAAGGGTGGTGTGGTTTTGCATAAGCTGAATTAAGGCCACGTCGTATGAGTGTGTGTAGGGTCCTAATCCAATAGGCTTCTCATTCCGGTAGATCAGACTCACAGTGCTCTAGCGGAACGATCCTAAGGAAATCATAGGAAAGTGGCAGTACAGGGGCACCAGTCGTTTTGTTTTGGAAAAGTGGCGATGAGCGCGAAAGTGTACCCTAAAACTTTTGGAAGTTAGGTTACCACATTTGTTGCAATAAATGAGGGTTGTGTCTGTACATGTAAAAGTTTCGTGGAAGGTGTACGGTGTTTTGGACAGTGTTGAAAAAAGGATGTGTCTTTTCTTCGGTAATAGGGCAGACCTTCCAACGCTTATCAATACATTGCGCCATGCGTGAGTGAAGCTTGGGTGGGTGCCTAACCTATTGGGAGGCGACGTGACCCTAGGAGGTTGCCTTCACTATAGAGTCCGATAGTGTGGGGTTCCTTCGGTAGCAGAGCTGGGGAGGATTTGGGAAGAGAATGGATAGGGATGGGTCATTCTGGACTAGCGACCAGTTTTGTTCAGCGGGGAGGTGCAGTGTGGTCGAGTATGTAGTTACAAGTGTAGGTATGTTGGAAAGGGGGTGGGGCTGGGGCTAGGACTAAGGCTAGAAGTTAGGCTGTGGTTCTACGGTGATGCGATATGCCAGCCAGGTTCCTGTCAATGAAGTCTCTAGGGTAACCTCGTAAAAGTGAGTGTTCCCTGAATATACGGATGGTGGAGTAGTTAGTGTGTGCATCAGTATTGGAACGTAGTAACCTGATTGCTTCTCCTTTCACCAGTCCTTTGTTAATGCCTCCTGGGTGGGAAGAGGAGAAATGTAGTTTTGTAGTGGGAAGAGGTATAGGGGGTAGAGGAGAGACATGAGAGATTGAAGGGGGAGAGGGGATAGAAAGAGAGACATGAGAGGTTGAGGGGGGAGGCGAACTGGCATGAGAGGAAAAGGAGGAAGCCTCTGGAAACGAGGGAGATGGTGTGGGTGAGAATTTTGGTGTGTTGTGTGTGACACGAGGAGATGAGGGCGGTGAAGGGTTTGCTGAGAAAGCAGGGGAGTCCTGTGATGATGTGAGGGGAGATGGTGTTGGTGAGGGTGATATGGGGGTGGGAAGAAGGTGGTGGGGAGATGGTTGAGAGGAGAGAAAGGCCTGAGAGAGTGTGGAGGGCAAGGGGAGAGGGGGAGTAGGTGAGGTCTGTAGGGAGCTGGGATAGTTAGGGAAGAGGGAGAAGGAGAATGAGAGTGGTGACACTTGCGTGCTAGTTGGTCCCTTCCTTTTCTTCCGCTGCAATTTCCGGTGTCTCTGCACTTGGCTGGGGGGGGAAGAAGGTCCGGGCCCTGGGGGTGGTTTTCGTTGCCACCATTTCCCGGGTGCCTGGTCTGAGACAGGGTGTGTGTGCACGCTGTGGCCTTAGCCTGAGTTATCGGTTGGTGAGCCAGTTTTCTCTCCGTCCTTTCGGCCGTTTGGGTCTTCCTTCTCCCAAGGTTGGACTTCGTCCTCTCCATCATCTGTTCGTGGGATGCAGCCTGGGAGGAGGAAATGTTGGAAGAAATTGAGGCTGAAACTCTTTCTAGCCTATTTTGTGCATTTTCCAGTACTGTATTGTAATGTGTGCATATGGCATATCGTGTTGCACCGAGGAAATGATTGCGTCGATGCATGCCTCTGCTTGGGAGGCACCTGAGGCATAAAGTTGTGGCCTGAGCAAGATGCGTAGTCTTGGTGGACTAGAGGTCAGTAGTCGCTGCCATCGAGCCCCATAGCACTTTTTTCGTAAAAATACAGGTTGTATGTACCTGCACTCACAATGGTAGCATCGTTCATTGCTGCTGCATTTGTGGCTGGTAGCAGGCAATTTTAGAGAACCCTTTTAAGACTCACAATGTTTTTTAATGCACACCGTGTCTTTATGTGTCGGTGGTTGTTATTAAAGCTACAAAGCGTGAAAGGTGGCACTTGGTTGAAAGATTTTGTATAATATGTGCAAGGGCCCTTCAAGAATGTTAGTACCATTCCTCGTTAGCCTTTTACGTATTGTTACTCCTCATCCTACCTAGGAACTAAGACTCTTCTATTTGACCAATCAGTTGTCTGCGGTGAAAAATCTGCTGGCGATGTTATAGACTGATGTATGGAGTGTTAATATAATCAGCAATCATGTCGTGTTCGCACGGGGGTCCAATCACAGCTTGCAAAACAGGCATGGCAAAACTAAGTGCATGTCCTGTGTCTACTATAACCAATTCCAGGCATTAGCCAAGGAATAAGCTTTACAATATCCTGCAAATTAAAGAAGAGGCATATAGGAATGGAAAGGAAGACAAGATTAGCCTCGTTCCCAGGCTCTCTCTCTCTGCGGAAAAAGTTTAATGTATGACCTTTAAACCTCAAAAAAAGCGGAGGGAGAGCCTTGTATATCTTCGCATGTGAGTGACGTCAGGGTAGACAGGTGTTTACATTTGAGCTTCAGTAGCGTATGCAACAAGATGGTGAGCGAGTACAGCCCAGGACCACGAGCCAGGGTGCCTCCCTTGTGTTTACAGAGGACGCAACTACGACACAGCTAACCGCGGCACACGGTGACACCGTGGGTGAACTTACAGGGGGAAACAGTGAGCATTTGAGGTATGACTGGTGGTCCGTAAGGCGAGTCAAACATTGCTTCACGCACCGCTGTTAGCTGTCTTATTGTAGTTCCTTCCTCCGTGACCTAAGGATGTATTATATACTTGCTCTTAGGGCATTCTCACGCAACATGTAATACATATGCATACCAAGTTTCATCTCTTTGCATGTTGCCGTCAGTAAGTGTGATTCAATTGTGCTGCTGGAGTGTTCTATGCAAGGGTACCAACACGGCAGACATCGTCGTCGTTGAGGAGTAGCCATGTATGTATCTGTCACACTAGAGTCACAAGTGCTACTGTCTGTGAACAATGGATTAGGTTACTCCTACTGAAATTAGAACTTGTGCTTCCTAGTACTTCTAACATTCTTTTTCAAATACCAAAGTGAGGAAGAAAAAAATATAGAACTATAACTCAGAGCTTTCAGCTCAAACTAGAGCCATCATCAGTTTTAATGGTTAAATGTGCATGTGGTGATTCTCAGTACACACAGACTCATATAGAGAGCTTGTGGAACCTATGTCTTGCTTGGCTCCGACATCCTCCGGTAGATGCTGTTGACTCAATGTTCTTTTGTCTCTTTATGCTTGGTCTTCTTTGCCAAATGTGGAACGACTTCTTTTGTTCCACTGTTTCTCTCTGATCAAAACACTTACTCCCTCCACTCGTGCCCCTTGAGGTGGAAAGCCTCTCCGGTCCTGGTCCTTCAACTCCTTCGTCAGCATATCCCCCAGCGGGGCTCCTGTCCCCTGTGCAACAGATCCCCCAGGACATCCTTCCACCACAACTTCAGCCCCACCCGCCCCCACTGTGTCCCTTTCTCTCTCTTCCAGGGGCTCTGGTGGGTCCTCCGGGTCAGTGTCCTTGTATAGACCACTAGTTGGGATTCTGTTTTTGTACTGTTGGCTCCCTCTAATGCTCTGGGGATAAACAACTCTCTCAGGCCGGGTGATCTCTCCCCTGACGTCGGTGCCTTTTCGTCACATTATCCAAAGGTGTATTAGACCTCAG